TCTCTGCATGGCCTCCATCCCCTCCAAATGTAGAAGTGTGAGATCCCCTTTCGATTCCGTGTTTTCAAAGTTACTTTGCACACTCTCACACACACGCTGACCATCGACGTACACGGAGCCCTGGGTGCCGTTCTGTAGCACAATGGCCACCTGGTGTGTTGTCTCTGGATCCCAAGTGCTGCCGTGCTCCGCGGTTGTTCCGTCACAGCACAGCGCCTGCCACTTCTTTCCGCTGCCGTACGACAACTCCATAAGTTTCGTTCCTCCGTTACTGCCTGCACGCACACCCATCAAAGGGACGCTGTCACTCTTCGGCTCACCGTGGATGGACACCGTCGCCACAAGAGTGAAGTTGTAGTTCGCAAAGTGGTACAGCTGATTCTCCCCCTGCCTGCCAACGGGCCACTCCGCCCACGCTCCCTGGAACTTCACACCGCCGCCATGCAATGTTGCCCCTCCACTCGTTCCTTTCTTTACTGTGGCGTTCACTCCGAGGTACTCGTCCCTCCATGTCTTATCAGAGAAATTGCCGGACAAAAAACCAACCAGCCCAGCCGTGATCTTATCAGTAGCGCAGCAGGGAGTGCTAGTTGGACGATCCTCAGCACTTGAGAGGCACAGCTTGGAGAGACGTTTGTCCACTTCCTTCCAGGTCGTCAGCACCTCCTTCACCCGCTTCAGCTGCTCAGTCAGACGCACAGAGACCATACCGAGTGATGATTCCCCATCGTCCTTCTTCTCGTACAGTGCAATCAACTCATCATTCTTATTATTATTCTTATTAGTTCCACCTTTGTACAACAGGGAGCTGGCGGTGACGTCTTCGTCCTTCTCGGATACCGGCCCAATATCAACAATGTGAGTGTTGTCCGTCAGCCAAAGATGGAGTTCGCCCTTTTCTTTTCCACGGCCTCCTGTATCAGCCTTCTTGGAAAACACCGGCAGAGTAACGAGCATCACATTCCTCTTATCATTTTCTACACCGTCGATATTCGCTGTGATGAACCCGCTTCTAACGCCCCACTCATGTCGCTTTTGGTTGTTGCCCCACACGCGCGAGAGTGTCCCGAGGGCCTCCGTCCACGACGCCCCCTTGTCACCGGACTCGTACACCCTGCGGCGGCCATCATCACACGCAGTCATCATCATGAGTTTTCCCTTCTCCCACTCCACGACGGAGGGATCACTGCAGCCATAGGCAGACATCCCCTTCGACAGCGTCCAATTCTTAGTATACGAGGAGTACAAGATCAGCGAAACGTTGTTATTCTTTTCTTCCTTTGCTTCACTTTCAGTGCCGTGCTCCTTCACTGCTTCCAAGGGAAACACAAGCGTATCGTCATCCATCTTAATACCCGATCCACCGCCTCCAATGAGCAATGCC